GTAGCTTGTCCTGTGGGCGAGATACTCTTGGTAGCTTGCTGGCTCGGGTAGACCACATGCAAACGCCCTACCTGCTGTGCTATTGCTCCAGCCCAAGTCCCTCTAGCATCTGAAACAAAGAGCACGTGGAGCAGAAGGAACAGCAAATGAAAACACTGAAATCTGAGTGCATAGTTACAGAGTGAGGATCTGTAAAAGGAAAAGGAAACCATTGTTACAGTAGCAGTATGGATAAGCCAGAAAGATGCAACATGAGGCCAGAGGAAGAAACTTGAAGGTGCTGGACAGGATTTTATTCTGTGTTGGGACTCCATGGAAATGTTTAAGTATAGAAATGACATGATTTGAAAATTTTGAAAAGATTATTTTGACTAGTGCCTGGAGGGTAGACTTCAACTTATCTTGGAATAGCTGTGAGCTTGAGTTTGCAATTTTCTCTTTTTAGATATTATATACACATTTTTTTTTTGTGATCCACATTTCAAAGTCACACAGAAACATCTTTACTGTGTAGCAGATGATGTTAGTCATGAATTTTGTCATGGAGAGTTGTTGGGAAGATAATTGATTAGGTACAAGAAGAATGATCAAAGCACAGGGATAGTTTTCAAGGTAACAAGGAACTTGAGATAAATGCACATTGGTTCTTATTCTGCTTTTATGACCTTATATTCTTAAAATTTAAATGAAAATTTCTTGGTTAAACTTTGTTCTGATATTATAAATTACTCAGGAGTATTAGCTTGTTTCAAGTTAGGATCATTTCTTATTTTACCTACTGAATTGAAAACTATCCTTGCAACATGTTTTAATTATTAAATTATTAGCTACAGAAATAATTGGTGGAAATTGGGAGAGTGTCACCAGGAATATAATGGCTTTCATTATAGGGGGAAATTTAAATCCATCACTTCTTTTTGAAAATCATATAAAAAGGTATCAAAAACTTCTAAAAAATCATGTACTAGGATTGTAGAAATAGTACAATGATTATTAAAGCACCTACTTAGCTTGCATGAGGCTGACTCCTGGCAACACATATGGTCCCAAAACCCCATCAGAAGTGATCGCTGAGCACAGAGACAGGAGTGAGCCCAAAACAAATCACTTGATCACTTAACTTCCCGTTACTCATCGATTTGCTCAAGTGGGTGTAACATCTCCATTCATCCCTGTCGCGTGCTAGTGTACCCCAATGGCATCTGTTCATTTTAGGAACATGAAGAGCCTTAAACTGATCATTCAGGGTCTTGATGAAGAAGTCTGACCATCTTATAGGTGGGCAGCCATGTGGTCTTTTGATGTCCCATGGAATCCAGTCAGTAACAGCTCTAGTCCAGCGGTCATCTCCAAATCTCATTATGTGTCCAGCCCATCTGATTTCTGATGCCTTGGCAAATGAGACAGCGTCCCTGATTCTTGATTGTTGATGGAGGTCGGAACTCCGGATTCTTTCTCTCATTTGAGTGAAATGTGATACTAGATACAATGGGTCTCATTCCCCCCTTCCCAAAACAAAAGCAAACAGAAATTATGATATCTGTTTATTTTCTGATTTATAAGTTACACTAGTGGTGCTCAGGGACTATTCCTGGTTTTATGCTCAGGTGTGACCCCAGGGGGGTTGGGAGAGACTATGTGTAGTCAGTGATTCAAAGCACTGTGGGATATAAGACAACAGTCTTAATCCCTTCTGTACTATCTTTTCTGGACAAAATCATGCTTTTTAATCCAGCAATTATAATTCCAGAAATTTCTCCTTAGGGAATAGTTTGAAATAAAAAAATTAACATACAGGGTATTTCAAATAACATAAAAATGGAAATACATCAATAAAAAAATGCCAGGTAATTGCTTAATCAATTTCAGTTAAAACCTTATCGGAATATCTTGTGCAGTTATTGAAGAATACTTTTTATTTGATAACATATGTCGAAGCAGATAGACTATATTTCCAACTGAAAAAGATGAGATGCAAACAGACATCTATAGTAAATGTAAAGTAAAAATAAATACTTAGAGATATTATCAAAATTTTGACTTACAGTTCTCTCTGCATAGTGAAACTAGAAAAATTTTGTTTTATGGTCTTTTAGAATCTTTTCAAGATTTAGGAGAAATACAGTGTATATTATTTTAAAATGTGATTTCCTTTTAAAATCTAATATTCTTAGTTAAAAATATTTTCGTATTAAAATCTTCAAATAACCTCTGTCATTTGAATGGAAAAGTTCTCTTCCTGCATGAGTCCCATCCATTTTGCTACTAAAATGTGAGAACTGACAATTACCTTTGCTTTTAATGGTCACCTTTATAGAGCGGTAAAGGAGAGGAGTCTTGAGGGATGAAGGGCTAAATCACTGAGGAAACAAAGTGATGTGTGACAGAGCAGGTACCAGAGTCTCAGCATGCACAGTCATCAGTATTATGGGTGGAAAATGGTCAAGGTTAGACACTGGCCATGCTCTTGCTTTAAAGTTTTCATTTCAGAAGAACATCTGAGAAAAAAAAATGACCAAGTGAGGCCTCTTTCTTTTTGGTCTTAAACTTAGTAAGTCCTTGATGCTCTAACCAGGGTCCTATTCTTGCTGCATCTGAGTCAGGCAATGCCTAACTGTACAGGCTCTCATCTACTTCCAAAGACTAACACTCCAGGGGCAAGCCAGCACGAGTGGGCAAGTGGTGAGTACAGTCCAGAGGCAGAGGGACTATAAACTTCACTGTCAATTCAGAGTGGGTTGTAATTTTTAGATCACTCTAGTCTTTTTTGGCTTTTTAGCAGTCTTTGGTTCAATAGATGCTAATTGTTTATTTTAGTATTTATTATTTTTATTGCAAGCCATATTTCTTTATAACCCATAGACTACTTAGAACCCCCTAGGTGTCTTATTGGTTTTTCTTCTTTATTTTGGGGACACACCTGGAAGATCTTAGGCTTACTACTGGCTCTCTGCTTGGGGATCACTAATGGCAGTACTAAGGGGACCTTTTATTGTTTCTTATGAAACAAAATTTCGTGTAATTGCTAAGAAATCAGACTGCCTCCCATCTCCCTTTTCTATAATCCTTGGTAGTTCATTTGCACAGTCAGCCAAGAATATTTACATGCAAAATCTAAAAACACTGCTTATTTTAAATTCTATAGTTATGCAGTGTTAATGTTATTACAGTGAATAAGATGATATTTAATTTATACATACTATTTTTACTAAGTTTCTAAAATAAAGGCTCATTTAATGAGGAGCTCTAATTTAATTACCACAAGTATATGTTTTTAAAGTAATTATTGCAAAATCTTTTTGATTTGGCATATTGATTAAAAGAGGAAAATGGATGCTCAAATATGCTTTTAAAAGAATGCATTTGAACTATGTTGTGGCTCTTTAATTTTCTTGCTGTCCTCTTAAAATTAATAAAGTCATTCAACTTCCTTCAAGGGCCACAAGAAGCAGATGTTTTTATCTTTAAAAAATTATTATTAGGCATCATGATTTAAAATACTCTTGATGACAAAATTTCACGCATACAATATCTACTATACTCTTCAAAAGAGTGTCCTGTTGAAAAGGGTTTTGTGCGTAAAACATTCCAGCACCACACCCTTCACCAGAATGCCTGCTTCCTCCAACAATTGTCCCAGTGTCCTTCTTTTGCCATACTATACTATTTTTAAATACAAAGAGATCAGTAACTATCACTGAACAATTCACTTTAAGTTGGGCAAGAAATCGTGTTCTAGCTCTGTTTTCTTTGAAGTATAATCTTTGAATCAATAGACTTATTTGAGAGAGGGGAGGAGTGAGAAAGGAAGGAAAGGTTAAAGATAATATATTCTTATTTAGGAAGATGTAGTTATCTAGGCATACTTTTATTTGAGTGTTTGTTAATCAGAAAGTATAATAATAGCCGGTTATAGATTTCAGGTCTTAGGTCATCAGAAAATAGGTATAGACAGGGAGGTCTCAGAAACTGAAGACATACTTGACATTAGGATGCTGCCTATAATCTAACTAACTGGCTTAATAGGAATAGATCTGTTCTTCATAATCACCACCATCAACATCACTACTATTAAGTTCACCGGGATTTGATAATTAGTGAAGATAAGTGTAGTCTACATATATTATTTCATTTAATCCTCTCCCAAAAGAATAAATACTCTTTTGGGGGGGAGATGGGGTTGGGCACACATGGTGATGCTCGGGGCTTACTATTGTCTCTGCCTTAAGGAATAACTGCCAGTGAATTCAGAGAACAATATGGGGGTAACAGAATTGAACCCTGGTCTGCAGCATGCCACGCAAGGTTCTTATTGTACTAGTGCTCCAGTACCAAGCAGAGATTCTTTTTGATGGGTTACTAAGGCTGAAGCTTAGGTGAAAGATCTAGCCCTACAGTTGGAAAAATTAGTTCAGAATATGGAATTTGAACCAAGTTATTTATAATTATGAACTTAGTTCTATAGAAATAGTTCCAGAAAAGGAGAAAATTCTACAACAGCTATTACTGTCACAATTTTAGGAACAGGGCAGTAGCATTTTTTCCCCTCTATACACCCAGAGTACAGGGTCAAATCACTAAAATCTACTAATGGATTAAATGCTCATAGTGTAGTTATCTTTGATCGGTCTAGCAATTTAAAAGATCAGTGATTATTAGTGTCATAAATGTCATAACACATTTCAAGAGAGGAAAAGGCAAGTAACCTGCTTTTTCAATCATTACATTGCATGTGCATTTTACAAATCTGTCACTGCTATGACTTGTCTTTTTTTAAAATGAAAATATTTCTTTGCATGAATTTCTTTGTGATCTATTGTGTTTTCCTTTTTAAATCATAGCCTGGGCACTGTTTAATCTTACAGCTCTTAAAAAACAAGGTCATATTTTAATGTGATGCTTTTAAATCAATATCACTTGCTGAAATGATGCAAAAGAGCTCAGCAACGTCCCCGTGGCTTTTTTCATACCTCTTGATGTTTTATGTGATTTCCAATCAGTTGGACAGATAATATCTGAAGCCTTGGAATCTAGCTGCCATAGCTACTATGATACTGAGCCTGGTGTTAGCCTTACAGATGATGGAAAGGATCACTCGATGAAGCCAGAGACTGACACAGGTTCAGGTAAGGTCACTTTGCCACCTGGGAAAAACCTTCAGGATTTCTTTGCAAAAGACAACACAATTGTCATTTTTCACCTTCTCCTTTTTCCCGGGCTGGAGCGATAGCACAGCGGTAGGGCATTTGCCTTGCATGCAGCCAACATGGCCAACCTGAGTTCGATTCCTCCGCCCCTCTCGGAGAGCCCAGCAAGCTACCGAGAGTATCTCACCTGCAGGGCAGAGCCTGGCAAGCCCCCCGTGACGTATTCGATATGCCAAACACAGTAACAACAAAGTCTCCATTGGAGACGTTACTGGGCCCGCTTGAGCAAATCGATGATCAACGGGAGGACCTTTACTTTACTTTACTTCCTTTTTCCCATTTTTATTCTCCTTTCAACGAATAATTGATGACTGGAGGTGGTTATTGTATGGGGCCAGATTAATAGTAAAATGGGAAGGGAATTTTCCATGCACCCAGCTGACCCGGGTTTGATTCCCAGTAGCCCACATGGTCCCCCAGTCCCTGACAGGAGTGATGCCTGAGCACAGAACCAAGAGTAAACCCCAAGCACTGCCAGATTTGGCCCAAAAACAAACCAAGGAAAAGTGACATTGTATATGAATAACATTTTTCCTTTTAGAGTACATTGCACATAGGATGCAAGAAAATGACTTTTGATTATAACAAAATAATGATAGGAATGTGCAAATCAGCTTATTTCATGGCTTGTCTCCTAGTTGAAAAGGTAGGAGGATTTGCCTAATTGACCAGTTGAAAGTATGAAGAGCAATGGCCCATTTCACAGTAATTTATTTGGACTTCATATTTTTTTTAATTAGGAGAAATTTATTTTCTTCAGCATATGCCTGACTGGATTTTGATGATGAGTGTTCCAGCTGCAAGGATGCCAATTAGAGTCACTCATGGGCCATGATGCATACTTATCTAGTCAAACTACCTGGCTCTTTGAAGTCAGGTTTTCCCATATTTATTGAATCATTTAAAATACTCTGACTTGGATATGTGTTTTGAGAAGCTGTTCACCTTATTCATCTCATGTCCACTTTACTCCCATTTTCTATTTTTGGTGATAGCCGTTAAACACAATGGTGTGTTTGAGACTTTACCCTCTTTTCAAATAAAGAAATTAGTAAGCTTTAGTTTCATCAATACTGGCAGAAGGTGCTAGATTCCTGAGTCAGAGATAAAAGATATTCTGCTGTTTAATATCTGAATCTGTGCAGTCTCCCCAAACTTCCTCTTCACTCTGGCCATGTAGAGAGGTCTAGGTGACAACCAAGCAATAAAGATACTATAGCAGAGGGGAGCTCTTAACTTGAGAACCCATATCTTTTAGAGAGGGCAGCCATCAGAGTTCTAGTGCTCTACCCCTAACTACCTGCAATGCTGTCTAGTTATTGTTATTTATCAAATTAACTTTAAGAATATCTAATATGCTGTAAGCAGTGGGAGAAAAGCATGGAAGGACAATTTATTAGGCTCCTTATGTGCCAGACATTGTTGAACATTTGATGGTTTATTATCACAAGGGTTCTGTGAGTTAAGCATTGATGTTCCCTTTTTTATAGATAAGAGAACAAAAGATTAGAGAAGTGTTTTTCCCCAAGCTCATACATCTAGAAAGTGGCAGAGTTGGCCTTCTCACACAGGTCTTTGTTACTCCCAGATATACACTCATTCTACTAAAACAAACTACTCTGTGAATACTGCTAGCACTCCTATTATTTTTTAAAAGCCCAAAGAGTTATCATTATAAAAAGGAGACATATTTTAATACTGATAATGTTTTGTGAAAACTTTAATCATTCTTTTCCCCTTGTTTCAAGTGTGTGTGTGTGTGTGTGTGTGTGTGTGTGTGTGTGTGTGTTCCTATAATACTTCAGATGCCATTAGCTCTTTCTCCTGAAGTTTAGGCATACATATTACTCCATGATGTCTAGGAAATTTTATTCCCCCATTTTACAGAATTTTCTTTAATTAAGCTATAAATTTAGGGTTCTGCAAAAGAGGGGACAGAGTGTTTTTACATAAAGGACTTATTAGTATGTTTTCCATGAAGGAATTTGACTAGCAACAGATACACGATTACAAAGACTTGACATGTTCTCATTGTTTCCATTTGATTTTCTCTCCATTTGAGTAATAATGCAGTTAAATAAAATGAGCTGTTATCTTCTCAGGTGAATTGGCCACTTCTCAGGTGAATTCTCTGAGTGAACATTCAGTACTACTGTTTCCTTCAAGGATTACTAGGTACAATGTAGGAAAGAACTGCTGAGGACAATCTATGAAGGTCAACCCCAGCCCCCATTAATAGAACTGAAATTTCTATTTTATTCCTTCAAAAGAAACATCAAAAGTTGTCCTCTAAGTACATTTTTAAGGGAATTGTAATATCAGCTATTATTACCTTCAAAATGTTTTATTGTAGTCCTTGCAAGAGACCAAGGGAAAGCAAAAAGCATAGTCACATTTTTTTGTTAGGAGAGGAAATGGAACAATGACACAATCCTGGTTGAATTATTAGGATAGGGAAGAAATGAATAAGATGAGTGTTTGAGGCTTCTGGTAGATTGCTGGTGATGAGTTAGAGTGAAATGGCTAACCAAAAGCAGCAGCAAGAAAATAAGAAAGAAATGAAGAAGATATTTGCCTATCTTCATAAACTTACATAATTTGCAGAATGAATCGCTATGATAGCATATTTTATAACATCTCACCCAGTGTTTTCTATTAAAAATTATTGATAGAAACTCTTAAGGTGATCATGTTTGAAGATTCTATTTCCCAAATATTATTTTACAGTTGGAAAATGAAACATATTTTAGACATTTTGCAGAGTATGTCTTTATTCTTCATGAATTATGTCAAAAGAAATACATGTAATAAATGATAATGCATATCAACAATAAAAGTAAAGTAAAGGGCCCTCCCGTTGATCATCGATTTGCTCGAGCGGGCCCAGTAACGTCTCCATTGGAGATTTTGTTGTTACTGTGTCTGGCATATCGAATACTCTTGGTAGCTTGCCAGGCTCTCCGAGAGGGGCAGAGAAATCGAACTCGGGTCGGCCATGTTGGCTGCGTGCAAGGCAGATGCCCTACCCGCTGTGCTATCGCTCCAGCCTGGCTAGCTCAGTCGGTAGAGCATGAGACTCTTAATCTCAGGGTCGTGGGTTCGAGCCCCACATTGGGCGGTGTATATCAACAATATATGTAAATAATTTGATAATTTTTATTTTATATTTATTGATGTGTGTTGATTAATACACCCAGATTTTTATGGGAATTATCAATAAGAATTTATGAGGTACTTAAAAGAATGTTATTTATGTTGAAAATTGTCCTGGACTACATCTCTGTCTTGCTCTATGATCTCACTTTACCAAAGGAAAAACAGTTCTGAATGCAGACTGGGAGTTATTTTGACCTGTAGTGAAAATTAGGATCTTTAATAAAAAGTCTTACCTTGAGCTACAAAGTTATTTTGAGACAAATTTAGACATAGTAGCTTAAAAATGCAGAAGATAGCATATGGGATAATAATCAGCTCACATTGCATTGAGATTGTGATATTTAATCATATTCTGAAATCATATTTTAGTCAAGGACAGATATATTATGGTGCTATAGGGAGCAAAGAACAATTATTTGTACAAAGATATACTGCTTTTCTAATTGTATCTTTTTTCTACATTATAATTCTAATAAAAGTAGGAGATGTGTGTATGTGTGTGTAGGTGTGTGTTGATATTTGTGAAATTTAGTTTATTATTTTAAGACAGAGTTCCTTTCTTATTGTTTTCAACCTTTGTTCAATTTTTCTTGAATATCAATATGTCTGTTTAATTTGATAGCATCATGAAAAACAAGCATTAAATTATGGTATATATTCTACATGAAAGCATCATAACATCAAGGAAATGTTTTATATATAATGCCTTTTAATACCATTTATAAATCATTCATATATAAGCATTATATAATATTATATCTAACTCTTCCCTTGTCTTTTTATATCAAAGTAACTTTGTTTTCTAACCTTATTTTTATAGCACCAAGTAAGAATTTAGTGGTGGAAGAAAGGGCAGCATTCAGTTCAAACAAGGAATCTAAGCAAGTTGCATCAGAAATGTGTATACTAGAGAATAAAGAAGCAGTGCAGGAAAATGAAGTTTCCCAGCACATGACTGCTGACACAATAGAGGAAAAAGCAAATGCAGCACTATGGGAAAAGGCAGGGGATAATGAAACTCTGCTGGGAGAATGGAAGCCAAGCACAGAGAATTCAGCCTTAGCAGAAGAGTTTAGAGGGGAAAGAGAGATCCCTCAGGTTATAGCTTCTGATGTAGAAGCAGAAGGGGTGGGAAGTCTATTCAAAGATATATTAAGCCCAAAGGAAAAAGGCTCTGGAGGTTTGGAAGAAGATGAAGCCCCTGAACAACAGGACTTAATGCAAACAGTGCTGGAGACAGAGACAGTAATTTCTGAATTGGAACAGGGTTCAGAGAATACAGTTCTGGCAAACAAGGGGATAGCTCAGAGCTCAGAGCCTTTTCAGGAGGAAGAAGCATTAAGAGAAGAAGCGGTCTTGGAGTTGATAGAGGCAGAGAAGGAGAAGTATATGCATGAAGAAGTGCTTGAAAAACCAGATCAGGAGGATAGTGTAGTGGAAGCATCCACAGATCGAGAGAACTGGGGACCCATGGGAGACTTTGTATCCAGGGAAGACAAAGATTCAGAAGAGGCAAAACTGGAAAGTGGAGAGGAAACAGGCCAAGAAAGGAAGGAAGTTATGGGAAGGGAAATACTTTTGAGTATTTCACCTTCTGAGAAGACCCAGGAAACCCCTATGGGGAGTTTGAGAGAAAGCCATGAACAACTCTACATAGAAGAGGTGGCGAGGGAGGAAACTGAGACTGAGGCAGAGTCTCACAGAGAAGATGATAGGAAAGAAATGTTACCTGAGGAATTAGATGTAGCAAGAGAGAGAATGAAAATCGAGAGGTCAGAAATACCTTCAGTGGAAACTGAATCTGAGGAAGAAGAGGTGACAAGGGCAAGTGGATGTCAGGATAAGGACACTTTAGAAGAAGAGCAAAAGTTTAAAGAGGAAGAAGAGGAGACAGCGAAGGAAGGACATTCTGAGGAAGAGACACAAGTTCCCTCTGATAAGATGGAATCTGAGGGGCCCATTGGGACATTACAACTGACTGAAGATGTAGGGTATCAAGGAGAAGACTCACTGAATGAGAAAGGGGTGACAATGTTTGAAGCTGCCCCTGGGTTTGAAAAATCACTGAAAAATGCAACAACTCTGAGGAGAGAGGAAGAAGGGGAAAGACTGAGGGAAGATAGTGACACAGGGCACCAAGGTAGAGCAGAGCTGTGTCTTGGGGAGAAGGTGACTCCTCCAAAGCAAGAAGTGGGCTCAGGTTCAGAGGGTGAAAGTGTGTTAGATGCTCCTGAAAATGAGCCAGCAGGAAAGACAAAGGCACCTGAAGGGAAGCCCATTGCCACAGATGAGGCTCATGAGGCTCAGGAGTGCACAGCTACAGGTCAAGATGGTTTCTCAGGACAGGAGGGAAGGGAAAAAGAAGGGCCTTTACAGGGCTCACAATTAATGGGAGTCATGACAACAACCCAAGAAGCCATTCCTGAGGAATATTCCATGATGGTAATAAAGTCAAGTGTAGACATCGTAGGTGAGGCTGAGGAGAAGGAAGAGAACGTGAAGGAGGTAGATGAAAAGTTCCAAATGGGGACAGGAGAGGTGAAGGAGAACCAGAAAGGAGAAGAGAGCTTCTCAGAAGGAGTGACAGTGGCTGAAGATCTCCACCAAGGAGGAGGAGTGGCAGCGGCTGAAATGGCCACAGAAAAGAGAGAGGTGTTGGCAGATTTGAAAACGGTTGAGGAGAAAACAGAAGCAAATAAAGCCTCCTCCTTTTCAGATGTTGCTGAAGAGGAAACTTGGGACACGGTAGGAAAAACAGCAGCTGTGAAGAAGGTGGCAGTAGAGGAAATAGCCCTGAGTGAGGAGGAGGTGCCGGTGGTGGAGGAGGTGCCCACAACTGGGGCACAGGGGAGTGGAGTGGGGACTCTAGTAGAACCTTCAAATGAGGAAGGGAATGTCCCACCACTAAAACATGATCAGAAGGGACAGGAAGCGGAAACCAGGCTGCAGGCAGAGTCGGCAGCAGAGAAGACAGGAACAGGTTGCTGCGATGGGTGGCAGGAGTCGGGAGCAGCAGTGGAATTCAGATCAGGGTTATCCAAAGAGAGAGAGTCAAAGCTGAATGGAGAGAGTCCACAGGATGAAGAAACTCTTCTTATAGAGGCCAATTTCACTGGAACCCCAGAGAAGATAAAGCATGCGGTTCAAAAAGAAAGTGATACCACAGATGTTTCCCTGAACAACACGGAGGCTTAAGAGACTCTGTGGCAGATGGTGAGTTTGATCCTTTTGTTGGTTTAAGCAGGTACCACACCCAGCAGTTCCTTCCTCTTTGTGCTGGCTCATCTCTTCATCATCATTGTGTACACAGACACATAAAGGCTTCAGTTCTGTAATGGTAGCCCTCAAATCCATCAAGAAGACAGGTAACTTGGAGGATGGGGCCCAAACAACACAGGAACCCCTCTCTGAAACCCGCTGCAAGCCTCATTCTCTAAAATAGAGCCCTTTCTCCCTCCCAAGGGTCCCAAAGATGAAAAACAGAAAATGTGCCACAGAGATTTACCACAGAAAGTAAGCCCATTCAGTGTTTAAAAGGGAGGCTATGCTATTCTATCTGTAATAGATTCTAAGTCTTTATTCCTACCTAAGTGTCATATATATATATATATATATATATACCTGTATGTACAATACAGGTACAATATAGTTTATATATTGTAATATAAATGTATATAAAATATATTTGTATTTGCAAATACAGAAGATATTTGAATGTAAAAATTGCCATTTTAGCATTTTCTTACTCCTGCTATATCCTTGATATTATCATAATTAAGAATGCACAGTTTCTATGTCCTGAGTAATTATTATTATATTTTAACTCTGCTATTTTGTTTTTCAGGAAATTTTAAAGATGTCTTCTTGAAAAATCAAATACCAGAGAAAGACTCATTCAAGGATCTTGCCAAGACTTTGATTTTCTTTCTTTTCTTCTTTTTCCTTTTTGTGTGAATTAGTTTCCCATCTGTCCATGCTGACCAGAAGCATAGTGAGCATCTTTAGAGTAATGGGATAGATCTGCAGCCCCCTCCTAGGACTAATGGTTTCAAAGGAATAACCAGGAGACTGTGATATACTCAACAGATCCACATGATTGATTTGTACAAAGGTTGCCTGAAAGGGCCAACCAAATGATGGTGAAAGGTGTTTAAATTATATTTTATTCAAAATCAAATATTCCCACTTTTGTATATGAAAGTTCTGTTTAAAATATGTGACAAAGCTTTAAATACCAGTGTGTATGTGCTGTGTGTATTTTTATGTGTATGTGTGTATTACACACATGATTTTACTTTTTGTTTGTTTCTTTGTTTTTTTTTTTTTTTGAAGTACACTGGTAAGTCCAGTGTACTTTACTGTGGCCTTTTATCCCTGAGGTCTTATTTCTAGGGCCACTCAAGTTTAAATCAAAGTAGTAAATAATTTAGTTGAGTGAAATGAGTACAATAATTATAGCAGGTATGCATTGCACATAAGCAGATACCAACTTGACCCACTCAGTGGAAAACAAACTTGGATTAAATTAGTGTGCTGCTTATCTTCCTGAGTTCTGTTATTTCAAACCTATGAACTAATCTTGCATACGTTGTAAATCAACATTCACAGTCACTTTCTAAATTACTCCCCCCCCACCACCACACACCCAATACTATCAGAAACAGTTGTGCATCCTGGAGGTTTCTTTTTCCTTAAAGACATTTTGACTCAAACCAGTATTTGAAAGGGCACATTGCTGGACCATTTTTTCTCTGTGAGTAGGTAGGAAAAGATTTCCTAAAGCACTGATTCTTTCAGCCACACATCATAGAAAATTTTCATGGAAGCACTATTATGAGTGATTTAATCTCTGGTTCCACCCTGAAATTACTATTTAATTTTTAGACGGATTCGGGTGAGAGAGAGAGAAGAGAGAGAGAGCAAGAAAGAGAACAAGACAGTGTGTATATGTATATAATGTCTTCAGTTGATTCTATTATATAGCCAAAATTGAGAACTAATGTCCTAAATCATTATACATTTTGTGCTAGCTGCCCTATTTCTGTGTCCCAGAGGACCAGGCATATTATCTTTATATGTGTGCCTCATTTAAATAAATAAAGGAGCCATTCGATGATCAAAGATATGATGGATCAGTGGTTCTCAAAATGTGGTCCCTTGGTTAGTATATCAGCATCACTTGGAACTATTCCAAATACAATCCCTATTCTCTTATACCTATTAAACTGCAACTCTATGGGTGGGGCCTATTTTAACAAGCCCTCTGGGTAATTCTAATGTACAGTGAAGTATGAAAACTGCTGCTGTGGATATTGATTGTACTGAGAATTAGCGTCAGTTGGAAAATGGATTATAGAAGCAATGGGAACTTTGTGTTTCTTTATGCCTAGCTCTTTGTCTTTTCCTATCCTATCTTTCTCAAAAAATAGCATTCACTATAAAATTTATGAATTAAGCTAAAAATTCATTTCTAATATCTATAGGATGTGTATATTAAGTCTGTTAGTCCCACTCTTATGGAAGGATAAGTATCTCACAACTGACATCATAGATGTCTATTGTCCATTTTAGGTTTTATGGTGGACTTCCTTTGCATTATATTCCATTTCATTTGTTACTGAAATATGTCAATTCATCTGTAAAGTACTGGTTCCCCAATCTCGAGCACTTTGAATACATTGCACTTTATGGGAAATATTGTAAATTTACTAATTTCATTGAAGAATGAGTCTGTACAATGTGCTAAATGTAAGTTGTGCTGGCTTATTTTTATATTTAACACATTCCATCAAAACATTCTGTAACACAGTTCTAGCACAGTTCTCCAATCTGCATGTGGATTTAACTCTGAAATTTTGTGTTTTGTTAATATTTTAGGTTCTTTCTCTGCAATTCCTATTAATAAAATTATTTGCATGTGCAACTAATTTTCTTAGTTTTATTATTAAGAGCATAAATCATTTGTTTAAAGACTCTAGTGTGAATGATAGACTATATTTTTTTAAAGTCTATTTTGTCCTTTTATTTTTTTTACAAAAAAGAGCTCTGCGGTTGGGACATAGCTCAGTCATAGAGCACTCGCCTTTATATGTGAGATTTTGGGTTCAATTCCCATTTCTGCAAAAAAGAAACAAAAATAGTGATGGATTTCACAAAGTAGAAAATAGAGAATTACTTTCATGGGGATGTATTTATAAGTGTACTATGTTTTTATTCATCTTCTATATTCACCTTGTCTTTCACATATATTAGATAATGTCAGAGGAAAAATTGTCACATTGTGATTAAGCAAATAGAAGCTAAATAAACTTTAGTGCCTTATCGAAATTCACTACCTGTCAGATCTTCTGACCACAAACTAATTTTTTTCATCAGATCATTTGATACTATCTCTACTTCTAGGAAAAGATGAAAAGGACACTAAGATAATAAATGTGACTACAAAACTTTGTTTGCTTGTAGAAGGTGAAAATCAAATCTCACCAATTCTCTATCAATGAGAAGGGTCTTCTATTTCTATCTAGAGTAAAAAAATATAATATAAAATCTAAAAACAAAACAAAATGGGACTACACCAGAGTTTTTACATGACAAAAAACTCAGGCTAACATAAAGGGATATCTTACTCAAACAGTAAAATAATTTTTATATCATACACCCAACAAATGCCCAAGATATATAGCTCACTCACAAAGCTTAACAACATAAAAAGTCAAAGATATTAAAGAAAATGGTGAGAGGAGATCAGTAAACACTTTCCAAAGAGGAATTAGGATAGTCAGTAAGCATATGAAGTATCTGTCACTTATTAGAAACAAAAGTCAAAATACAATGAGATATCATCATATACCAGGTGAATATGGCATATACCAAAAAGAATGAAAACTGCCACTAAGGGAAACAGTATGAACAGAACTACATAATCCAGCATTTCCACTTCTTGGCATCTATTCCTAAAACACAATAACATAAATTCAAAAATATTTAGGCACACCAATGTTAATTGCAATGATTCGTAAAAATAGTTATGTATGAAAACAAACCAAATACTCAATACTGAACGGATCAAGAAGTTGTGTTATATATACAACTATACAGCTATGGGGGAAAATAAAATGAAATCTTGTGGTTTACTGAAATTTGTAACTGGAAACTATCATGTTTAGTGAAAAAAGTCAGAGAAGGACAAATAGTGAACTAATTAACATGAATAAACAAGGGAATGGTATCAAATAATTACAAACTCTTGGCCTTGGATTATACCAGCATAGGAAAGATAAAGGATGGAGAATGAACAGGTGGACCAGAAGCAACAAAGATGGTGGAGAGTCTTGGGCACTTTGATGGTGGTGATGAATACAAAAGCACTTTGTAGTTTTGAAGAACTACATCAAAATCATAACTGTTAACTATTGTAAACATGTTACCTAAATTATAATTTAAAATAATAATACAGTATACTCTTTAAAGAACTTTAGGCTGTTTGCATTTCTTGAGTTTGTATAGCTTTATAAACACATTGCAAATTAAAAGAATAGGTGAGTTACCTGACATTTCTAATATTTTTTTTCCTCTGGTTTTGGGTGACCCCCAGCTGTGCTCAAGGCTTACTCCTGGCCCTTAACTCACTTCACAATATTTCCTATTCGAAGCAAAATTTATAATTTGTCATGGGTGATCAATTTTGCATTAAGCGTACAAACCACAACTTCTTTTTCCACTCATTGGTTTTTGGACACTTGCCTATTCTAAACAGCCAGATCTTCGCTATTTTAAAGTAATGTAATAAACCTCTGTATGTTTATGTCCTTTTAAATTCATGTTTTACTGGAAATTCTTCCACTTAATAGGTAGTGTTTACCAAAATTCATAACATGTATGAAGCTGTGATCATTGAAATAAATAGCCCAGAAATATTTAACACATGTAACCTTAGATTCATAAGAAAAGTTTAAAAATTAAATTCAGATATTTATATTTAATTATAGGAAGTTCAGATGGGTGAGCCATAATAGTTGATAATGACTTTTTTAGGTGACTCCTTGGGCAGAGATGTTTGTATACTAAAGGTTCATATTAGAAGTAACACCAGGCGGGAATAAGAGAAGCAGAAATGAGCCCACAGAAAAGATCAAATGCAATGCCATTGCCCTGGAAGCTTTGTCTATACCGAGGAGAAGCTCAGCTAGAATGGAGGGGAAGGAACCAGGTCTTAGTTCTCATAAAAGACCAGTTACTGCTGGTGCCTCTGGAAGACCATAGCATCTTTCACTTCCTTTAGTCAGAAGCTCTTCCTGAGAAGAGACTCAGCAGCTGACTCCACTGAGATATCTGGGGAATTAATGTACTGTCTTTGAAGGCTTACCTCCAAAGAGTGGCACCATAACATGTGCTACATGAAAAAGGCGCAATCAGATTGTGATAGCATTTTATTCCCTTGAGTACGTTTTATAACATGATAGAAATGGGGTTATCTACTTAAGCTTATAAAAATAGGTTAATGTCAATGGGAAAATATGTGAAGGCACTCAAAATGTTTTCAATTTTCTTGGTATATGAGCAAAGGGGAATAAGTTAAATAGACAAGATGAAAAGCATGGTGTATTTCTAAAATTACAAAGCATAACTAAGTCATAAATTGCTAAAATTTTGATTAATATTTAAAATTTGTTTTGACTATTAGAATCCTATTAGAGTGATATCTGTCAAAAATTAACAAGTGGGCTATGCAGCCCAGTGTTTCTGCAAGGAATAAATATGAATCCTATGGGGCTGGAGCAATAATACAGCAGGTAAGGTGTTTGCCTTATCTGTGCCCACCAGTTTCAGTACCTGACACCAAATATGAACCTTCAAGCACTGCCAGAAGTCATCTCTGAGCATATAGCTAGGAGTAAGCACTGAGCAGTGCTGGGTGTGGCCCCCAAATAAA